AACGTTGTTAGAACAACGGGTAAAAGCTAGCTACAACTTTTACCCGTTGTTCTAACAACGTTAAGACGGCTTATCGACTTCTTGAGAAGAATTCTAAGAAGAAAGTAAACCTACAGACATCGGTCTTGTTTAACAAAATCTGCCTATATATATATATAATTGGCCAAAACAAGAAAAAACCTTATTCGATTCTTTCATGTGTACCGAACCAACTTTTTGAAAAGAAGATGAATTATGAGAAAATTTGATGTGGCAATTTATATCAGTAATATAAACGTTTCTTGTACGAAAGTTTTTCATGATTTTTTAACATATGCTTGGACAAAATCTTACAGAATACATTTTTTTTCCTGAAAAATATACATATACGGAATATTTTGTACCTGAAAGTGTTAAAAAACTTCAGAAAATGCTAATGTATCAGTTTATTAAGCTGACGTCAAATGTAGAAAAGGACTGAGTTTCTTATTGATTAAAATAATTGCGAAGTATCGTGTGAAACCTGTCACAGAAAGGCTTATAATGATTGCATTCATGATTTGAATGTATATTTTTATTTTGTATTTGCAGTTTGTGGTCCGATCATGCCAGCGCACATAACAATCTGGGAGCACTGCTTTCTGATCCAGCTGAAGCTGAACATCATTTCCAAGCTGCGATATCTATAAATCCATATCATGCCAGGGCCTACTTCAACCTCGGCAACTTGTACAGGTGATTTACTAATTATTAATAATATATTCATAGCAAAATCTATTCTTCTCAACATTTATTAATCAAACTAACATTAAAATAATTATCTCATTACAAAACCTTTACAGGGAATGATACCATGAATAGTTAATAAAGTATTTATACAGCATCATCATAAGCTTACTTATCATGACTCAGGATTGTTTTGCTGAGCCGTTGTTTTCCTAATTATACTGAACAAAACCACGGAACTAGGTCTAATATGTAAGGAACACGCTTTACTGACTTAGAAAGAAAGTTACTTAATTGTATAGCATAAATAGTCCTAAGGTTTATAAAAAGGTTTTTACAGCAATGTCTCGTTTAAAATCTGAGATAAATTCTAAAAGTTGGAGTTTCATAAATATGTCACAAAGGGTTGTGTTTCTCGAAAACAAAATCTATAAATGGGTATTAGACCATACAATATGAGTAACGTCATTGAGCATATTCATATGTTAGACCAGACAATACAACACAAGGCCATTGAACATATCCAAGTGTCAGACCATGGATACAAGGCGTAGCCATTGAACATATCCAAGTGTTAGAACGTAAATACAAGGTTAAGCCATTGAAGATATCCAGTTTCCATGCTACATATGAGCTAACTAGATGACACAAAGATACTTGACTCATCTAAGTGACTGATCGACTCCTACAATCATAAAAGTATACAAGAAAGTTCCTTGTCAATATACAAATCCTTCCAGAAATTAATTTATTATAAGTTTTTACTCCGATATCGTATCACAATAATTATCTTAATCATCTGAAATATAAATTTATCATGATAGTTATCCTGACCATCTGGAATACTAATTATTGTGTGTTCCTGAAGGGAAAAAAAAATCATTTTTACTCTTCTGTAGTCATCTATAGCTTCAAAAGCCAATAAATTATTTTATGATGAATGATAGATAAGAATACAAAATAATTGATACTAGTTTTTGCACAGTTTAAATGTAAATGATTATTCAGTCAGTACTTAACAAAGATCGATCAATAGATATGACATGAAGAGCTGATATGTTGTGCTTCTGCTTGTAAATGTTAAATTTTCTTATAAATTCTTATGTTTTCAAATAAATGTATTAATAAAATAAAATAATCATAAGAAATGCGAGACTCTTAGAAGATATGATGAGACAAAACCAATTACTAAAGTTAAGAATAGAACTTAGTAACAACTGAAGTATTGTCAACAACATTAAACCCTTACCAATGTTTCAGAAAACATTTTCTCTTCATACTAAATAAGAGTTTGTAGAACTTTGAAACACATTTGTAAACAGCTTACAAGGAACAGCTATTTATTTTAAACAAAAATATTGAATGAAAGTTCATCCTTAGGCTTAGGAAGACCGTCTTCGGTGGAGGATACATTTCGTGGATTTTTAATATAAACATTTTACTGGATTTTACTGGATTTACTTGTATTTTACAAGTTTACTCTATTCTCATTTCAGTAAACAAGATAAGAAAGATAAAGCTGAAATTTGTTTAAAACAAGCAATCGACATAGATCCAAAGTTTGCTGAGGCTTTTTCGGCTCTAGCGTCCCTATACGCCAGTCTTGGTCACGTGATAGAAGCAGAGAAGCTTCATCTAGTGGCACTTAGTATTAGTCCTGAAAACGTCGATGCGCTTAATAATTATGGCGTATTCATCCACAGCTTAGGTTAGTATATTTTGTTTTCTTAAGCGTTGACTTATTTAATATATGAATTGGTAAAGGAAGAGCTTTTTAGATTTATAGTATAATATAATTAAAAATAAAAGCATACACATTTGTTTAACGGAATAAGTTAAAAGAAACAACCAGTGGAGAATTTTTAGTAACGTTTCTCGAATAATATAGGTAATACCACTTTGGTGCGGAATATTTTAAACCAGAAGTATTTCTTTGAAAATGGCTTTGAGTTTGAAATTCACATTTTGAATATTCTGATCCTCTCTTTAGAAGTAGTTGTGACCTAGAAATTATTAAAACTTTTTTTTTTCTTTTCCAGGTCGTGAAAACGAAGCTGTTCAATTTTATCAACGTGCTGTTCGAATTCACCCTAACCACACTGTGGCGCTTCTTAATGCAGCGAGAACTCTGCGTTCTCTAAAATTTATTGATGAAGCTGAAAAATTATACAAAAGGTTTGGTAGACATTACCCATTTTATTATATGCATATGTATATATATATATGTGTGTGTGTATATATATATATATATACATCTATATTTGTCTTAAACACTATAGTAAACACACATAGGAATGTCAGCGTCTTTAATATTAACCTCGTGTGTTTTAAGGCTTGTCTTGTTTCGTGTGACGTCATAGCCTCCGGGGAAGACTTTCATTTATCAGTTTCTCTATGTTTAAACGACTATATTCATGAAAGACTAAGAGAAATAACAGTCGCTTTGTAACATAATTACAAAGACTTGTACCACGCTTGGTAAGGAATGTATGTATTGATATTTATATGTTGTTGTTTTTTTTACCGTACATAAGATTGTGGGTGGTAAATAGCTGAATGTTTGTCAAATAACGTAAGCAAGTGACCAGATTTTTATCATTTTTCATTGAAAGCTTCCAGCAGAAGTTTGAAGAAGGTATAGCCATGTTGTCTTTATTCATTGTTCGAAAGCCTGAAGCCACTGGATACGCCACATGACTGCCTACTTAAAAATCAGTCTAGCCCTGGGGATTAAAGATTGTTTTATGTTTGTTTGTTGTTGAGCACAACGCTATACAATGGGCTTTATGTACTCTTCCCACCGCGGATATTAAACCCCAGTTTCTAGCGTTATAAGCCCAAGACTTGCTGCTGCGTCACCAGGGAATCATTTTATGTTCATTTGTGTGTTTGTTTGTAATTAAGCACAAAGCTACACAATGGGCTATCTGTGCTCTGCCCACCACGGGAATCGAATCCCTGAATCTAGCGTTGTAAGTCCGCAGACTTTATGTTGACAGAAGTATTAATATTTTTATATAAAATGGATTTATTACTGTATTTATAGTCAATATTTTTCAATTTTTAAACATGTATCTTATAGAAAATTTGGTTTATTGTTGTGCTATATTTGACGCGGAATTATACATTTTAAGGACATTACAAACTTATTATCCCAAACCTCAAAGAAAAACAAAACTATATAAAAAGATTTTTCTTGATTAAAATGTATTTTCTTTTTTTCGATAGGATTTCTTGAATTGAGAGTAATCTTATAAAATGGATGTTTTACAATGATGTCGACTAATCGATTTTATGGCTATATACATCTTCCTTACGCCTGTTCTAGACATGTCATACATATGGTATAATTCAGGATGTATTTGTGATTACTATTATTTAATTGCTAGAATACACAAATCATCAATTCTAATTAAAATCAAATAAAAAAGGAACTCTTACAGAATCGCTTCGTATGAAGAGTTTAAAAATCAGAAGTTGTTCGATAGTGAAATAAAAACGAAACATAAAGTAGAAGAAAAACGGTTATTGAATCTGTTTATTTGGCTACTACGGTTTTATAGGCATCTACTTTTATGTTGTGTTTTATTTTATTAATAAGGTTCTTAGTTTTAAACCCCTCATATAGTTTAGTACTATGAAAAATCCTTATTTACTTTTAAGTTTTTGTTTGTTTGTTTCGGTCATTCGCGCAAACCTACACACGGTCTATCTGCACTATTTTTGAACTGACAGACTCAGACTGGAGAGGAAACAGCACCGACTTCAAACGTTTTAGGTTGTTTTACCGAATAGAGGGTTTTGACTGTCACTTTTATAACGCATCCACGACTCTAAAGTGCCAGACATGACTTTTCTTCAGAGGGACACGAACTGCGTCACAGTCTGGCACGCTACTCATAGATCACGCCAAACTCCACATTGTTATTTAAGTATTTAAGTTGCATTCTCGTAGACTGATAAACAATATTTTACAATGAAACAATCGACAATGAAATATATACTTTAGTACAGACAATTGTAAGTTAGCTACATCAGCAGGTTTGAGAAGAAGAATCAGTAGAATTAGAATCAATAAAGATCACAATAAGGTCTGCGAGAAATAGAACATCATATATGAAGAATGTTCAATATCAAAAAATAACCGTTTAGCATACTTTTATTCTTGATTTCGAAACTCGTTTAAAACTAACACGAATACACCTGTCGTCTTTTCCTCGTTAATCTGTAGTTTCCATGTTTTAACTTTTGTTGTTACAATGGCTGTTGTTTTTCAATGGGTTTACAAAAGATTAAACGTTGGCATGAAACTTGGAATTACATTGTGTGCCAATCTTTTAGAGTCAGAATAAAGAAAATAGTCTTTAATATTTCAGTACTTTGTCTTACGAGTACAGAAACTAGATGGATACTAAGACAGATGGCTTTCTTCTCGTCACTGTTAAAACAAATTCAAATTCTCTACTAAGATTCACACAGAACCACTTAACGTTGAATACAAGCTATTCTCTCCACATGTGATTGAAAGCAATTTTTATCACTGAGACAGATTGGGTCCATGAAAGTATTCAGGATTTGCGTTTGAACGTGTGAGTTTTACCATTTCGTACGTTAGATAATAGTAAAATAGTCTCATTTCGTTAGTTTACACTGTTTTCTTCACGTTCCATAAGACTGGGTAAAAACAAAAAGACAACAATAAAGAAAATACACGTCATTGATTATTAATGGTACTATTGGTATAGCATTGACGTAAGTCTAGCAAGGAAAATTACTTGCAATAAATTTTATAGAATGTATAATAATGCCATCTATCTGTCCATCTCAGGTGCATGGGAAACATTAGAAACACCTGCGCTTATATTAGTGTTTTACTTTCTAACTGTGATATATATTTTTAAGGTTTCTCGAAAAAAAGGCTTACATGCGCACACGTGTATCAGTCACAAACCTGTGTCGTTAATCGTGCCGTTATTAGTAATATTTCATTTACCTCAATCGATACGTTAGCTAACTGCCGTATTTACTGCTAATCTCTTCACACTCAAGAAAGCCGAAAAAACAGCGAAACACGGATATTTTTAGTGCTGTTCACGTATACATCGATTTAGAAAAAATCGTCAGGAAATGGGTAGACGAATAACACTAAATTACACAATTGTACGCAGGCTAATCCACTGTGTCATATGCATGCAGTGAGAAAATTTATAAATAGACTTTTTTTTTTTGCTACAGGTAGTGTTCTTTTCCAATAGGTACGGGAACAATCCACGAACTACAATTAATGGCAAAAGTAAAGCTTGGAGTTAATCGAAACAAGATGCCTCATTTTTTATATTCTATACTGTGGAAGCTAAGCGGAATTATACTACGCTAAACAAACTTTGCCTTAGATAAACATTTATTTGAAGCAAGCTATCTAAATAAATCGAAAAGAAAATCAAACCGGCCACAAACACCTATTTAAATATCCCGTTTTTAAGTTTCTACTTATAAGGATGATAATGCGTTGTTTCATCAGTTGGATACCATCGTCGTTAACGATATTTTTGGTCGTATAAATTGTTTCGTACTTCAGTGTGTTACATGATAATACCTGTTATTATGTAGCATGTAATGTACATTTCTTGGCAGAGTTAGTTGGTACTTTTATCTATTAAACTGGTTTACTTTAAATTGGAATTTTCTGTGTTCCAGAGCTCTAGAAATAGATGAAGATCCCCAAGTCATGGACAACCTTGGAACTTTGTATATGAAATCTGGACGTTTAGTAGAAGCCCACGAACTCTATAAGCAATTAATCAATAAACACGAAAATTACTTGGACGGAAAAGTACATTATGTAAGTGTATCTATTTACCAGAAAATTTTGTTTTCCTTCTTTCTGAAGTTCATTTCGATTATAAAGAGAGACAAAAAAAAACATTTTAGAAACAATACAGAAATTTGAGTAATGTGCCTAATATCCTAGTTAAACCAATTACATACTTCATTTAGACCTTTTTTACTTGAACTACAGATTATGTAAACATCAAATTACGTACTCAACTAGACGTTTCTATTTGGATTGCAGATTCATAGCTTTTGTAAACGTTAAATTAAGTACTCAACTAGACGTTTCTATTTGGATTGCAGATTCATAGCTTTTGTAAACGTTAAATTAAGTATTCAACTAGACATTTGTACTTGGATAGAATAATCATAGCTTTTGTAAACGTTAAATTAAGTACTCAACTAGACGTTTCTACTTGGATTGCAGATTCATAGCTTTTGTAAACGTTAAATTAAGTACTTGAATACGGTACTTCTTCTTGATCAGAAATGTTTTTTGTTGTTGTTGCAGTTTTAAGTATATACACTACATCTGTTTAGATGTAGTATACACGTTAGTTTGTATCTTCTCAATAGCAATATGATAAAATTCGAATTGCGTACATAATTAAACTGTTTGTGGAAAGATATGCTTGATGTCTTGTTTGTTTAACCTTTGAGAAGATTTAGTTTTAAACAGCCTCTTCAAGTTATGTTTTTGTTTCATTTGTTTTGGTTGTTTTAATACAAATATAGAGAACATTCCCCATGTTGTGAGTGATCAGCGCCCATCACCTTTTTAACTGAAAACAAAGTGGATTCAGACTATTAAAAAATGGGTAGCTACTTACTTTGCAGTGCGTTATAAATTTTCAATACTTAAAAAAATGAAATTTTCCAGAGATATTGTGACGTTTTTAAGATTACTTTGATGCGATTAGTTAATTTAAACCCTATTTATAACCCTTATCTCAGCCTAGAGTATTTATTGTTTGAAAGCTAATCTTTAAAACCAGAACAAAGCTCATGGTTTAAAGCTATGTCAGCTGTGTTTTATTTAATGATTACAAATTCAGTCTGTAAACAGCGGGTGTCATTTATAATTATATACTGTTTCGTTAATTTACAATATATACGCCAGGATCTCGAGCAATAAAGTTTAAAACACATAAGAGTTAATGCAAAAGTTAATGTAACATTTTGGCACACAGGCGCAACTGTTGACGCAAGAACGAAGCTTCAACCAAGCCGAAATTTTGTTATTGTCGGTGATCAACAGCAACGCTACCTACCGAGAAGCTTATTACCAATTGGCTGTACTCTTCATTCAAACAAATAGAACTTCAGAGGTATTTTTTTTAATGAAGTTATTTGAATTCACATGTCTTTGTCCAAAGATGTATCAAAAATTACTCTTTACAACGCTTTATTTCCGTATAAGTGTATGGACTGAAACTTCATTAATATAGAATAGTAATCATTGCAATTACAACATCCATATTTGTTACAATGCTTTTGTAGACTTCTATATAAGAAGGGTTAATATATAAATATATATATATATATATCGTTCTGCGTAAAAGTGTTATGAAAATAAACAATTAAATTTATGAGTTATAATTGGAAATATTTTTATATTTAGTTTTATAAATTAAAGTATAAACAAGACTAGTACGTACGAATACAACACTTAGAACGTATTTTCTGAATGTTTTTCTATTGCGTGTAAACTACTCGACGGTTTGCTTCTACTCAACTACACACCAAACCTTAACCTATTTTACACCCCATAAATACTTTTTCTTTATTGATTATTCTTGTTTTTTTATATATATCCAGCACGCAAAATAACCATTTAAGACGTGTAACCGTTAGAAGGCTGAACACTGCTAGAGGCCTGGTTAAAGACAGAACTATTGTGATTTACGGGAGTGGGGCTTTGTTTGGTTAATGTGCTAATTTCTCAAAAAATAATACTTACGGTAAAACTATGTTTACTTAATTACAAACAAGCAATTTTTCTGTATATTTTAACATATACCTGAATATACCAGCTGGTATGAACTACAACAATAGGAATAGAGTGGATTAATCAAAAATTTATTAACCTTGCTATTTGCTTTTGAAGCTTCATCTCATCACTACGTAACCATCCTGATCGGATCAATATCTATATGTGATTAACCACGTTAATCCACTTTTCCTTCACTATTATCATACAAAGCCCTCCATCTTTAATCAATTTGATTATTTTTTATCCAAGCTGAATAAATGTTACCACTAGTTACTCATGTTTAGCCAAATAAATATTGATAATCATTGCCATGGTTAACAGTAACCTATATAATTATCTAATTCTAATTATTCATCTGTTGATATTTTTTAATAACTACTTATCGTATCGTACGTTTACACTACTAGTCTGTTTCCATCTTCAGGAAAGACCTTAGATGGATTGTGTTCGTGGTGATAGTAGTCTTGATATCTCATTCTGGAGATAATTTAAATAGTTGTCGATTAGTTGACTGAAGGCTTCGTACGGACGAAAAAATGGCACACAAGCCTTTCTATTAAGAAGACAAAATATAGAATCCCTGCTACTATCATCGTAAATACAATCATCCTGAGGAATTTCCTGAAGATGGTTTGTTTGTTTGAATTTATGCACAAAGCTTCACAATGGGCTATCTGTGCTCTGCCCACCACGGGTATCGAAACTCGGTTTCTAGCATTGTAAGTCCGCAGACATACCACTGTGCTACTGGGGGGCCCTGAAGATGGAAACAGACTAGTAGTGTAAACGTACGATACGATAAGTAGTTATT